CCCTCCTCCCTCCGCGGAAATTCGTTCAATTGGTCACCCCCTCCTATAATTCCGTCCGAGTTGCGATTGACAGGTGTGTGGGGGGATAGGGGTTGAAAATGGGTGTTCGTTGATTTACCCACAGAAAACCTTGATGCTTCTGAAGGGTCTTTGATCCGAGGAACTCAAGCTGTCCCAGGCATTGTGCGTCTCCTAGTGGTTTATCGTTTTCATATTTTTAATAATAAAAATAATAATTATAATCATCACAGACCGTTTTCAACTGCGTATTGTTGCCTTCTGCTGTATTATTCTAACCTTCACCTATCTAGAGAGAATTAGATATGAATGAAATAAAGTCAGTTCTTAGCTGTGATATGAACTCGAAGTTCAAGGTTCATGTTCAGCTTCCTGAGGTTCAAACTTAAGGTTCAATTTTTCATAGGAACATAAGAACTGAGGAACAATGTAGCAGGCCTACTGGACCATACTTGGCAGGTCCTTCTCCCAGTCAAGCTTCAGGTGCAGCTTCTTCCCGCCCAGTTTCGGATCCAACTGCTTCCCAACCAAGCTTCAGGCCCTTATTTGCCTTGCGTGCATAAGCACGACAAGCACTTCAAGTACTGGTGATTTCTGTGATTGTGTTACATAGACGAGACTGTTGTTCAGCCCAGGTACACAGCTCACATCTACTTCGAGGCTCTTCTCTAATCTGCGAATCTATGTTCGTAGATCGAGAAATTTACCATTTTTTAGCAAGTATTCACCTAATTATGGTTGCAGGGGTCGATACTCAGCTCCTGGCCCCACCTCTTTACTTAACACACTGTGTGTGTGTGTGTGTGTGTGTGTGTGTGTTGTGTGTGCGTAAATCATACAGTAGAAATTCTAGGTATTAAATTTGAAAATATGATTCTGGTAATTATCCAAGTATATAAACCACCGCCAGCAACTGCTGAGGCATTCACAGATCAGTTGAGGAACACAGTTGTCTGGATAGGCTAGAAAATCCCCCCCCCCCTCACCAAATATTAACCCCCTCGGAGATTTCAATCTCCCACCTGCAAAAAAAGGAAGATGACTCAACACGTTATACCAGAAATACCTCCTGATCGCACCCTATGTTAAATATATCTTTTTCCTGTTGTTAAGAACGCTAAGTGACCTACAAGCTCGGCTGTAAATATCGCAACTGAGGATCACTTCGGAGAATGCCTTCAGATCGTCAGTTCACCTGAAGACTGGTCTCCGAGTCACTTGCCGAAGATCAGGGATCTCTGGAAACTTTCAAAAGAGTTTGACATCAATAATTTATCTTTTTATTTTAATCGATGCTGGTTATTTTAACTTGGCGTGTTAGTATTTGTATCGAGTGTTGATATTCGTTGTTTTTACTGTTCATTTTATTCTTGCTTTTATTGAATGTATATATTCTGTGACCATGAGCGCTGAGTGACCTATGCTACTTGTCGCAAACCAGACTTTTATGATAAACGATGTTTCGCTCTGGGTACATCTTCATCGTGTTATGACTTCATAAAGCGTAACGTCTATAAGAAACATTTGGTCTACAGCAAAGGTATATTTCCATCGCAGCGGCAGTACCAGCTAACCTAAATACCGCTGGAAGATTGGACGATATCTGCCAATAATAACAATTTCGTTTTCATTTGCGTTTCTTTTTGTCAACGACAGAAGACTTGAGTTCTTTCTTTTTTTTCTGACTGAGATACTGTTATGCAGCTGCTGCTGGTATTCTTGTAGGCACATCCAGTGTTACCCACGGGGAAAGAAACTCCGTTAATCGGGTATTTTAATCTTCGTTATTGAAATCGGTGAGATTCGCGTAATATTGGCAAAAATGCGAGCGTTTCTTTGGGCCAATGGCGCTCTTAGCGGCGGTTCTCAGCGGCGGTTCTCAGCGGCGGTTCTCAGCGACGGTTCTCAGCGGCGGTTCTCAACGGTGGTGATTATTACTATACGGAGAATATATAACGCAAATAACTTGCAGATAGGAGAGAGGCGCTTACGACAATGTTTCAGTCAAAGTCGCTAAGTGTTCCAGCCACGGGTATCGTGACTTTCTAGATTAGTTAAGTGTTCCAGCCACGGGTATCGTGACTTTCTAGATTAGTTAAGTGTTCCAGCCACGGGTATCGTGACTTTCTAGATTAGTTAAGTGTTGCAGCCACGGGTATCGTGACTTTCTAGATTAGTTAAGTGTTGCAGCCATGGGTATCGTGACTTTTTAGACTAGTTAAGTGTTGCAGCCACAGGGATCGTGACTTTCTAGATTAGTTAAGTGTTGCAGCCACGGGTATCGTGACTTTCTAGACTAGTTAAGTGTTCCAGCCACGGGTATCGTGACTTTCTAGATTATATTAGAATAACATTTTGATAGGGAGGCGCTAAACCCCTACGGATTATCACGCTTCGTGCACATTGCAGTCAATACAACGTTACGATGACATTTCGGTCCAAGTGGGATCGAAACGTCGTCATTTAAGCCTCTCCTACGTGCGGGTTATTTGTATATTGCTCCAGCACGGTATTGTGCCACAACATTGTAACAGTAAAGACTTAAAAGACTTAATTATCTATTAATAATTTTATATTCTTTAGAGAATATAAACAAAAGTTCACTTATAAAACTCCTCTGTATAGCGCGATGTTTTTTTTTTTTTTTTTTTTTTTTTTTTGCAAATGCGATTGCAACAACGCAACCACGAGTGACTGACAGTTGAAAGAGGATTTGCAACAACGCAACCACGAGTGACTGACAGTTGAAAGAGGATTTGCAACAACGCAACCACGAGTGACTGACAGTTGAAAGAGGATTTCATAGTATATGCTATTAATTTTTTTATACAGTTTTTTTACTTGCGTTTGTCAAAAAAAAAAATATCGCACTGTGTAGAAGGGTCTTGAAGGAGTCTTGAAGGAGTCTTGAAGGAGTCTTGAAGGAGTCTTGAAGGAGTCTTGAAGGAGTCTTGAAGGAGTCTTGAAGGAGTCTTGAAGGAGTCTTGAAGGAGTCTTGAAGGAGTCTTGATGTACTCTTGATGGACTCTTGAAGGACTCTTGAAGGACTCTTGATGGACTCTTGAAGGACTTTTGGACTCTTGAAGGACTCTTCATGGACTCTTGAAGGAGACTTGAAGGAGTCTTGAAGGACTCTTGATGTACTCTTGATGGATTCTTGAAGGACTCTTGATGGACTCTTGAAGGACTCTTGAAGGACTCTTGGACTCTTGAAGGGCTCTTCATGGACTCTTGAAGGAGACTTGAAGGACTCTTGAAGGACTCTTGATGTACTCTTGATGGACTTCAATCTTGAAGGACTCTTGATGGGCTCTTGAAGGACTCTTGAAGGACTCTTGATGGACTCTTGAAGGACTCTTGAAGGACTCTTCATGGACTCTTGAAGGACTTTTGAAGGTAGAGAATTGAAATTAATGGCAGTTAAAAGAGAAAAAGCCACAATTCCTTGATAGTGGACATGGTGTCGGCAAACCTAATCTAATCTAACCTAGTCTAACCTAAGCTAGTTTAAGCTAGCCTATCGAACATAATCTAACTTATCTAACATAACCTAGCCTAACTTAACTTCACTCAATCTAACATAGACTAATCTAATCTAACCTAGCCTAAAAAAAAAAAACTAGCCCAATCTATCCTAACCTAATATAGCCGAACCTAGTTTAACCTAACCTAACCTATTGTCATATTCGTTCTGTGATATTTTCCTGCATTTTTCCTTGTGGTTTTTCTCACTGAAAGTATCGTTCTCTTCCTTGGATCAAACCTGGTGACTTCCCATTTCCGGGGCGCTGTGTAGCCTCACCGCCTTTAGCGCTTCCACGTGAAGGAATAGCGGTTGAGATTCATTGCACACTGACAGGAGGCCTGCCGGCCTATGCTAGGCAGGTCTAACTCACACTCAGGTCTGCTGGCCCATGCTAGGCAGGTCTAACTCACACTCAGGTCTGCTGGCCCATGCTAGGCAGGTCTAACTCACACTCAGGTCTGCTGGCCCATGCTAGGCAGGTCTAACTCACACCCACCCATAGCTTGTCTTCACCAGGTCTGCAAATCATACACAGTGTGAGTATTTGTGAGAGTTCCACTCGTTACTAACACTCGTTACTGACACTCGTTACTAGCACTCGTTACTAACACTCGTTACTAACACTCGTTACTAACATTACCACAACTGTTACTAGCACTGCCACAAAGTTGAGAAGATTGATGAACATCGTGTCTCTTATATTTATCTCTGTTTAACGTTATATTGACTGCAATGTGCGCGAGGCGTGATAATCCTACGGGTTTAGCGCCTTCCTATCATAATGTTATTTTAATATAATCTAGAAAGTCACGATACCCGTGGCTGGAACACTTAACTAATCTAGAAAGTCACGATACCCGTGGCTGGAACACTTAACTAGTCTAGAAAGTCACGATACCCGTGGCTGGAACACTTAACTAATCTAGATAGTCACGACACCCGTGGCTGGAACACTTAACTAATCTAGAAAGTCACGATACCCGTGGCTGGAACACTTAACTAATCTAGAAAGTCACGATACCCGTGGCTGGAACACTTAACTAATCTAGAAAGTCACGATACCCGTGGCTGGAACACTTAACTAATCTAGAAAGTCACGATACCCGTGGCTGGAACACTTAACTAATCTAGAAAGTCACGATACCCGTGGCTGGAACACTTAACTAATCTAGAAAGTCACGATACCAGTGGCTTGATCACAGTACGGATAACCCGGAAAGTCACAATGCGGTGACTGGAACACTTAACAAATCTACAAAGTTACAATACCGTGGCTTTGATATTTTATAACTAATCGTCAAAGTCATAATACCAGTGGCTGGAACACTCCACAACTAACCCACGACGCAGGGGAAGACCTTAGAGAAACGTGTCGTTCCATCTTAATGCGAAGTTTCGCTCCATCATGGATTATCATCAAATCTTAGATGAGAGAGAGAAAAGGAAAATTGTTTACCTGGTAAGGGGAATCCTAGTGTAGATGCTGGTGCATATCCTCAGTGGTCTAGTGAACACGTGTGTGTCTGTCGCACCCCTGTCTTCCGGGGGGACGTCCCTGTCGCACCCTACACGCAGGGACACACTCGCGGAAGCCCTCGATCACACCAAAATATCCCCAGAGGTTTGTAAATTCACGCGTAAAGAGCGGGGAAGTTGCTGGCTCTACGGTAGAGGAGAGGTGATGAAGCTGGCGGTGCTGAGACGTTCACTCTGGCGCCGTCCAGACTGGCTCGCGACCACGCTGATGTGGGACGCTCAGGGAACTTCAACTCTTCTCATTTTAACAACCGGTCTGAGACCTCTCCCCGTGTGGCAGGTGTTTGGTAGCGCTTTTAACCCCTCATTCTCCGGCGGCAGTCCTGCTGGGGAGCCCCCCACAGTGGCGACGGGATGAGGCAGTAGCGGCGGCGGTAGCGGCAGTAAGAGTGGTAGCGGCCGTAGTGGTGGCGCTCAGGAGCGGCTTGGCTCCAGGCACCTTGGTGGTCGAGGGGGAGACTGACTATGGCAGAGACTGAGTCACCCACGGGGAGAGCCGCCCCCCGCTACCATCACCACCACGCCCCCCTCTTCTCCGCTGGTCATAGCCTCCCCTCTCTCCCCTCCCTCCCTCCCCCACGCCGCCACCTGCTGCTGCTGCTGCTGCTGCTCTGGCAGCGGAAACACCAGCAGAAAATGGCAGGGGGAACGGGAAGGAGGGGTGAAGAGCGACTTAGACAGCAGTAAGCAGAAGAGTGTCTGGGGATGGGCAGTGATTGTAATCAACAGCAGTAGCCATAACAGCACCAGAAGTACCACCAACAGCAGCAGCAGCAGTAACAGCAGCAGCAGCAGCAGCAGCAGCAGCAGCAGCAGCAGCAGCAGCAGCAGCAGCAGCAACAGAGAAGCAGGTTGATTATGTAATACATGAAAACTAATTTTGAAAAAGATGGAGGAATGAAGAGTAAGGAAATAACGAACCAGAAGGAGGGAAAGAGGGCGGGAGAGGAGGGAGGGAGGGAGGGAGGGAGGGAGAGAGGGAGGGAGAGAGGGAGGGAGGGAGGGAGGGAGGGAGGGAGGGAGGGAGAGAGGGAGGGAGGGAGGGAAGGAAGGAAATGAGGGAAGGGAAAAATTATTCAATAACTATTTAGTAACTTACATCACACCACCACCACCATCACCACAACCACACCACTGCCACACCACTGTCACACCAATGTCACACCACTGTCACACCACTGTCACAGCACTGCCACCTCCTCTATTGCACAACTACCACCCCGAACACCACACCTCCATCACCACATTTTCACCACTACATTTCCATCAACACCACCACGAGCACATCCACCACTAACACCACCACTAACACCACCACTAACACCTCCACCACTAACACCACTAGACTTCCATTGAAGTGACTGTTGATAGAGTTCCATCTTGTACATCTGCCACACTAGCTTCATCACCTCTACCACGAGAGAGAGAGAGAGAGAGAGAGAGGAGAGAGAGAGAGAGAGAGAAAGAGAAAGAGAGAGAGGACGAGCCGGTGAGACTACACCTGGTCTTCACCTTGGAATCAACAGACACAGGACAGGTAGAATATGATCCGAGTCCAAAAGTTTACTACTTGGTTTATTTTGAGAGTAATGGATGTCACCTTGATGCTGATGAAGAGCTCTTGATCCAGGCAGTTGGAACTACCCTTCCCAAGATCAATTGTGATTTCGTGTCGTTCCCAAGGAACTATAGGACCCTTACGATATTAGAGCTTCCTCTCTGAATTCTATAATTGACTACCTGGTGAAAATGAGCCTGGAAAAGACTTTGAGGGGGAGAGTTTGTTGGTGATTTTTACAAAACACTAAAGCCGTAAGGGTCGCTCGAAGAAACTATGGAGACTCGATCATCCGTTCTCTGACTGTAGCTTCATCTCGAATCCGCCACCTCGGAGGCCGAAAAGACTCAAAGCAGACAGCAGAAGAGGAAGCTATAAGCAGACAAGAGTCTGTTGAATTGTGTCCAGTGGAAAAGGGACTTGAAGGAGGAATGACAACGAAACAGAATGTGTATGGCGAAAACCGGGAGGTAAGGAAGAAGTTTTTACCCAAGAACATTAAGAAAGAAGAGAAATGGTTAAACCAGAGACGTAGAGAGGAGAGGAGAAGCTGCAGAGAATGTGGAGGATAACGAAAAGGTAAGTAAAACAATAGAGAAGTGTGCAGAAAAGACAGAATTCTTTTCAACAGGGACGCAGTGATGAAGCAGGTAAGAGATTGACTTCTTCCAAGACACTAGGATTTGGTGAAGAGTCTTCCAAGACACTAGGATTTGGTGAAGAGTCTTCCAAGACACTGGGACTTGGTGAAGAGTCTTCCAAGACACTAGGACTTGGTGAAGAGTCTTCCAAGACACTAGGACTTGGTGAAGAGTCTTCCAAGACACTAGGACTTGGTGAAGAGTCTTCCAAGACACTGGGACTTGGTGAAGAGTCTTCCAAGACACTAGGACTTGGTGAAGAGTCTTCCAAGACACTAGGATTTGGTGAAGAGTCTTCCAAGACACTAGGACTTGGTGAAGAGTCTTCCAAGACACTAGAACTTGGTGAAGAGTCTTTCAAGACACTGGGACTTGGTGAAGAGTCTTTCAAGACACTGGGACTTGGTGAAGAGTCTTCCAAGACACTAGGACTTGGTGAAGAGTCTTCCAAGACACTAGAACTTGGTGAAGAGTCTTTCAAGACACTGGGACTTGGTGAAGAGTCTTCCAAGACACTGGGACTTGGTGAAGAGTTTTCCAAGGCACTGGGACTTGGTGAAGAGTCTTCCAAGACACTGGGACTTGGTGAAGAGTTTTCCAAGGCACTGGGACTTGGTGAAGAGTCTTCCAAGACACTGGAACTTAGCGAAGTGTCTTCGAAGACATTGAGACTTAGCGAAGTGTCTCCCAAGACAGTTGAATTTGGTGAAGTGTCTTCCAAGTCACTGGGACTTAGCGAAGTGTCTTTTAAGACACTGGGACTTAGCGAAATGTCTTCCAAGACACTGGGACTTGGTGAAGAGTCTTCCAAGACACTAGGACTTGGTGAAGAGTCTTCCAAGACACTAGGACTTGGTGAAGAGTCTTCCAAGACACTGGGACTTGGTGAAGAGTCTTCCAAGACAATGGAACTTGGTGAAGAGTCTTCCAAGACACTAGGACTTGGTGAAGAGTCTTCCAAGACACTGGGACTTGGTGAAGAGTCTTCCAAGACACTGGGACTTGGTGAAGAGTCTTCCAAGACACTGGGACTTGGTGAAGAGTCTTCCAAGACACTGGGACTTGGTGAAGAGTCTTCCAAGACACTGGGACTTGGTGAAGAGTCTTCCAAGACACTGGGACTTGGTGAAGAGTCTTCCAAGACACTGGAACTTAGCGAAGTGTCTTCCAAGACAGTGAGACTTAGCGAAGTGTCTCCCAAGACAGTGGGATTTGGTGAAGTGTCTTCCAAGACACTGGGACTTGGTGAAATGTCTTTCAAGACACTGGAACTTAGCGAAGTGTCTTTTAAGACACTGGGACTTAGCGAAATGTCTTCCAAGACACTGGGACTTAGTAAAGTGTCTTCCAAGACACTGGCACTTAGCAAAGTGTTTTCTTGGATACTGAGAAAAGAACAGACACTCTAAACATCTCTAAAATATAAACGTCGCTGGATACACGACACATTCTGAAAATATCGAAAACTGCAAAAATCGTCCCAATAGTCAAGGTAACACACGAGACATCGATGGCAGCGAGCCGAAGAGCGGATGGTCAGGACTCCCGAAACATCGTAAAACGTTATCATAAGGTTCCGCTTCAAGGAGAGTTCGGTTTAGTTATAAGTAGGCTATGAGCGAAACGTTGTTTCACGTGTCTTTGCCACTTAATGCAGCTTGGTAACTCTGGCGTGCTTACTACTAAGAATAAATGAGAGATGAGGGTAAGAGGGAGGTGGAACGCCTCAGAGACTACGAGACTATTGACATTATGTCCTGTCTCAGACACATGAGTAACATCTAGGTATGTTTATTGTAAACGTCTCGCCATCCAGTGGCTTTATCAGTACAAATTCAAGAACATATCTGGAAGACAGTAGAACTACATACAAAAGATGAGGTGATCAGTGTCTAAATCTACATCATCTTGACGGTATTGTATATATACCATACATGTACAAATTCTGTCTCACAGTTTATCCGAGATCAAGAAGAAGAGAAAAAGAGGAGTAACTTCACATTCTCGTACTGCAAGAGGTCGCTGGACAATGTAAGTTTCTTAATGCCTCGTACACACACTGGGAGAACATATAGGGTTCAGGGGAGAGGTTCTACGCTGGTTCATGGAAGGAAATAAACATCGTAAAAATAGCGACTCCACTAAGTGAACCTAGTCCAGGTTGATGTACATACTGTGATGATATAATGATATGGTGATGTTATAACTTTTTTACTCATATACAAGTTGATCTTTCTTCTACGTAATATAATGTGACATCTTTATTTACTACAAGTACATGTACATAGTATACGGGTATACTTTTATTACTACTACTACTACCACCACTAGTATTACTACTACTATTACTACTACTACCACTAGCATTACAACTAATATACCTCATTCTAAGCCTATATATACTCTCTGTATCCATGTACTGTTTATAACGGCTTCACAAAGCTCCTGGAGTGCAACATTAGTTGCACTCAGAAGACTGATTGATCTGCATATTTCGATCCCCTTCTGAAAAGGATCCCAGAAGAGGATCCCAGAAGGGATCTTCTGAGTTTCCGTCTCTATGTGGGTTATTACAGAGGATTCCTTCTGGGATCCTCTGAAGGGGATCGAAATATACAGATCAATCAGTCTTCTGAGTTTCTGTCTCCCTGTGGGTTATTACGGAGGTGTGTACTCACCTATTTGTGACTGCAGGTGTCGATTCATAGCTCCTGCCCCCGTCTCTGCGCTGTGTGCGAGCAAAACTCTCATTACCCAAGGTCCTTCCTATGTAGCGTGAAAAAAAAACTCAATTTAGAGTGAAACGTTGTCCAAATCGACCTGATCTGAATACCTGTGTACTGTGGGAACGTTTCGCCAAGCCAAATCTTGTCCAAGTGTCTCAGTTATCAACTTGTTGACTTTCTAAACGATTTGTCCTTATAAAGAAAGTGATGCTGAATAGCTGTTGAAAGGTGCGAGACCGGCCGCTAGAGCTTGAAGAAAACCTGGTCGAACTGTAGCACTGTTTCGATAGTATCAACACACAAGAACACAAGACAAGAGAAACACTGCAACATGCCCACTGGCCCATACTAAGCAGGTCCTTTTCTAACCAAGGAGCTGCTAGTTTGTCCAGACCTGAATATCACAGCATCTTACATAAACAGATCATAGCAAAGACTGGGAGATGTGCAGTATTTACACTCTACCAGTTCACCTCCCGCAATGACCTTACTAGACCAGCCACTCACCTGGCTACGCTT